AGGGGAGGGGAGTAGAGGGGAGGGGAGGGAGAAACGGAGAAAAAGTCCTCTCAACTTCAACCCAGGTCTCTAAGAACTCCCAGTTCAAAGGAAGATGAGTTCCCCAGACAACATACACAAGGAACAAAGGTGCCATGAGTGTGAGTGAGTGGGAAAAACAGAAGAGCAAACACAGACTCAGTGAGACCGTAGATATCGGAAACACCAGACACATAGCATTAATATAATATTAACATTTTAACCTGTTTTAAAAATTGGAAGGAAGTTTCAAAAGGAAGATTAAATGTATTAGTAAGAAACAAGATATTCAAAAAACAGTAAAACTTCTGGTAAGATATGAGTGAAATAGCAGCAGACTAGCTGGAGTTTGAGAGAAACTTGGTAAGATGTGTCAGATGTTATCAGGGATACAGTCCAGAGACAAAGAGATGGGAAACATGAAAGTGACAGAAAACATTAAGACGTGGAAGATAAGATGAATTAGGTCTGACATTAATCTATTTGAATTTCAAAAGGGAGTAGAGAGAAAAATGAGGAGGCAATATTTAAAGAGATAACAGCTAATAATGCTCAAAAAATCATAAAAAGACACCAAACCTCGATCCTAAAATCCACCCCCTCAACTTTCAAGCAGGATGAATATTACAAAATCCACACCAAAATGCATCATTGTGAAACTAAAAAACGTCAAAGACAATGAAAACAATCTTAAAAGCATCTAGAAATGGCTGGGGGCAGCGGGGGAGAGATTGTTACTTACAAAAGAAAAACAGATTAACTGCTGACTTCTCAACAGCAAAATGCAAGTTAAGACAGTTGAACGTCTTCAAAGTTCTGAGACAAACAGTTTTCAACCTAGAATTCTATACCAATGCTAGAAGTCTCTAGAATGAAGATGAAACAAAGATATTTCAGGAAGATAACACTGAGTTTGTCACCATGAAAATTAGCTTTGCTACAGCACAAACCACCCCAGAGCTTCCTGGTGTAAACCATCATGCTCCTGAGCGTTCGCTGGGCTGAGGACGGAGGGGCCAAGCTGACTTTGGCTCTCCCCTGCACCTGCGGTCAGCCGGCATCCGGTCAGCTGCTGGGTGACCCAGGATGGCCCCCCTTCCTCACCCGCTGCTGCCTGGGACCTGAACACTCCTGCTCAGGCTCATGAACAAGGTGGCCCAGGGTCTAAAGCGGGCAGGAGAGCAAGCCCCCCTCCACCGCCACAGGCAAGCACCTCACCTGCATCTGCCGGCATCCCCTTTCCAAGCCAGCTCCAAGGGGTGGAGAAGCAAGCTTCGTACGGGGAGAATGTATGGACAGTTTTGCAGCCTCCCACATACCAAGAGACCCCAGGCAAAGGAAATTCTAAAGTCTGCAGTTTGGCCAGAAGGGAAGGACCTCAGATGGAAGGTCCATGATACGAGAAGAGTGAAGACGGCGGGAACTCACGGCATTGAAACCAACATTGACTCATTACAAACAAGGCCTGCTCTGCAGGAGTTGGTGGGGAAAGAATCCCGGACAAAGATGCATGAGGTTCAGAAACAGATGATGGAGAATTTCAGCACAGAAAGATCCACGGTTGTTCAAAAAGGAGGATGAAAGCATTGGCACTCCGGAATTAGATGAATTATATATATGTTAAAATATCTAGGACATCTGCTAAGAATAGGCGTTTAATATCTACCATCCAAACAAGTAGAGAAAGAAGTGGAGAAAGAAAAAGGACGCTTGCGGAGAACCAGAAGCATTTTTCCTCCCATGTGACTCTCGGTGAGTGAGGCTGCATCTCCGGCAACAGGATCCTCTTCCTCAGAATGGCCGTGGCAGCCCCACCCCCTCAGAGCACAAAGAGGAGGAAAGGGAACTCGTCCCGGGGGCTGGCAGGAGTGCACACATAGCAAACGGGGACAGGATGAGGCTCTCTTCAAAAAGAGACAGAAGACAGCACACAAAACCATCGATCTGAACATAAATACTAGAGAACCATCTGACACACACTTTAAAATCCCACTGTCTTAGCCATAGCTTTTCACATTTCAACATCTCTGAAGTCTGGACACATATTTCCATAAACAACATGACCTTGTTTAATTGGCAGCATTGCTTCTTTCTAAAGAGCACACAAACGGCTGGTGCGTCGCACAAGCAATGGAATTTTAGAGTAAATGAAAGGCAGTGGGTACCGTGATGAACACACAAACGGCTGGTGCATCGCACAAGCAATGGAATTTTAGAGTAAATGAAAGGCAGTGGGTACCGTGATGAACACACAAACGGCTGATGCGTCGCACAAGCAATGGAATTTTAGAGTAAATGAAAGGCAGTGGGTACCGTGATGAACACACAAACGGCTGATGTGTCGCACAAGCAATGGCATTTTAGAGTAAATGAAAGGCAGTGGGTACCGTGATGAACAGGAAGCACTCGGCACCCCAGCTGCTGTGGAATGACGGCAGAGAGCCCCTCACTTCTCTGGCTGCCCCTGCTCTCCCCAGTGCCCCCAGTCGGCAGAATCCAACAGGGAGTTGCTGGCAATGACTCCTGGGGAAGTCTTGTGCAAATCCTGGCTCTGGCATCAAAGGGCGAGTGCTGAAGGGTGAATAAATGTCAAAGAAATAAGTTGAGGCCCAGTGAGGAATTTTGAAACAGCACAGGCAGAAATAAAACAAGAAGAGGTAAAAGTGAAAAAAAAAAATCCAACCACAATCTTGGAGATTACAAAATGCAGTTCCTGAAATAAAGAAATAATCCAACCACTATGATATATCCCAGATGGGAAACAGTTGAGAGGAGAGTTTGTGAATTGGAAAATGTTGATGAGGAATCCGTTCACAACATGGTACAGACAAACCGTAAAATTCAAATTGCGAAAGAAACTTGGAAGAGAGATTGAAATGATCCAGTGTCACCTACTAGGAGGTCCAGAAGAAGAGAATTACGAAAACTCA